CCCCCCACTCATACCTGTCCACCCCCACCCATCATCCTTTCCATTGCATGGCAAGAGCTTCCATGTGGGGAGTCTGAAGACTTTTAGAACAATTATCTCAGAACCAGAAAGGTGACTGTTGACAGCCAGCATGCAGCTGTGGCCCATCTCCTTTCCTTGGGTTGAGTGTGGAAGGCGGTAGTGGGAGACCTGCTTTTCTCCCTGTGTTCCTCTTCAGAGTTTCTGTGTGCTCCGAACCCAGATTTCACATTCTCCTCATGCTGAGTAGCAAACAATCTTGTCTCTTCATCCCACCAGGCTGAGGTTGCTGTATAGGGTCATGAAGTGTGACTAGGGCCTCTCCACCAAGCCCAGGTGAAAACACACATAGCCCAGGGCAGTGGTAGGGCAGCCTGGGGTGAGCCTCAGTCCCTGGGGAATGTTCAGAGTAATGAGCCTGTGGGGAGGTACAGACCATAGACATGGAAGGAGCAGGCAAGTAGAGTAGTCTCCTTGAGGATCTTACTCTCCCCTCTTCTCAGGGCAGGGCTGGGCCAAAATTGAGGATGTGAGCTGGGGCAGGGGGAACTTGAGACACAGTGAAGTCCTAACTGGTGTATCCAGACTCCAGAAATTCCCAAGAAAATAAAATAAAAACCCTGTGCTCTAGGTGTCTAGGTGTGGGGAGAGGATTATGGGAAGGGGCAAGGATACCTGTTCTGCTTCAAAACTCCTGGGATGCTTTAGTGCTCTTGACAAGCACTCTCCTGAGCCCACTGGGAACCTCTTAGATGAGATCCAAGGCAATAAATTGTCCATCTGGTCTGGGCTGAGGAGCTGGGAGTCTGGATGCCTGGGTTCCCCAAAAGGCAGTCTTGTGTTGTCACTGGGGCCATGTGCAGAAAAATTAACTCTTTATATCTGCTATGCAAAACTGCACAAAAGGTTAAAGTCATCCTGACCCCCTCATTTGCAGCCCTGTGATTTTCCTTAAGGAAAAAAGTGAATGGTGTCTGTCAGGATTATTTCTGGTTTCTCTCTTGCCAGGGATTATGTGATCATTTCCCACTCGAATTCTGAGACAAACAGAATTACAGGTATGTGTTTAATCACATTGCAGTGACCTGCTTAATGCCCGTGTGTATTTTGGAATAATCCCAAATGGGATTTCAGACTTTTTTCCTATTTGGGATTACAGGTTTAATCCTCACTGAGTTTATGGGATTGACTTCAGGAGGGTTATGGCATTATTCCTTAATGGCATTACAGAATTATTTTCATTGGGATAATAGGACTAATCCCAAAAGAATTATGGGATTACATCCCAGAGGGATTATGTGATTAATCCCTGAGTGGTTTATGACCGCTCTTTCTCTGGGGAAGCTACCTGTGCCCTATAACCTGGTGAGTACTCAGTTCCAGGTGGGATTTGCATGGGCAGAGGTTTTGGCCAATAGCTGATTATTTGCCCCAGACAGGGGTATAGACCAGCCCCTGCTTCATACTGGGAAAAAGGTGACAACTAGTTGTCTTCCCAGGGTAAAGACAAGTTCAGCAGCAGGATCATGGTCAACAATGCTTTGAATGGCCATGATGTAAGTGGCATGTGGGGGAGACCCCAGGCCTTGGTTCCACCTCCTGACCCAAGGGGCACAGAGAGGGCACCTATCCCATCCTGACCAAGGGACTGTAAAGGACTGTGTTGGACTGTATGTCTCAAGCATTGCTGTTGTACCACCACCACGTCCTGGCCTCAGTGTCCAGTGGATAGGGAGGAGTACTCTCTGGAGAAGAGGAACTGTCCCAGGCAAACATCTGCCCAAAGTTAAATCGAGGCAAAGAAAACATGCAGGCCGGCACGGCCACCGTGAACACTGGGGCATGTGCACATGGAGGACCACGAAGACATGCAGGTCAGCATGGCCATTGTGAATGCCTGGCCATGCGTGCATGGAGGACCATGAGACAATGAGCCCTGTGGAAATGGGTGGACTTATTGGAGAAATCTGGGACAGACTGCATACTCCTCTCTTGGGACTCTCCTCTCTTTCTCCCTCCTTCTCAGCCTTGTCATCACTATTGGAGCTTGGAGAACCATCATCTGCACCAGGATTGAGTCAACAGTACATCACTGGATTCATGATGGTGGTAATTAATCTTGCTTCATGTCTACCATTTTTCTTGCTTAGGGATTCTGACTTTTCCTTCCTTTTTCTTTCTGTCCTATCACTATTACCAGTTGTATGCAAAATAACATTCACAAGGTTGTACAGCATCTGACCTCGTTTGTGTCTTAATCTCACTCTTGGGATCATTTAAGAATCCTCCCCAATATCGGATCAGGACAGGGACAAAGGGAAATTGGGGTAGGGGCAGCAAGGCTGGGTTGGTCTGGTTCAGAGAAGCCCAGGTAGAGTGGAATGCAGCCCCAATGGCTGAAAGGGAGCTGAGCTTTTCTGGGTGGTGGAATAAGGAACACTGGGTGTAAATTAAGGCTTAAGGACAGTCATATTAGACAAATCCTGGGGCCTTGATATAAGACTGCAATCCTGTGTGATGGGACCCCACTAGAATCTCTTTGAAATCAAAGGTGTTATTTAAGAAACCCAGAACTGGTTTCAGCAAAAGAGTTCACCTGTAACACCTGAACCATGAAATGGTCTGTGTAGGGGAAAAGGGACAGAAGACACCCTTCTTCCACAGAGAGTAACTTCCTACCTGCTCTTCCTTTCATCAGACAGGATTAAAACACATTTGTCTTGCTTGGCACGATTTTAATGAAGAACCAGCAGTCTACGTGAGTACCACAAAGACACGCTCATCCAAACATTCCCCCACTCTTCTTGAAAGCTGTACTTCACTGAGGAATACACCAAATGCTAACCAAGGTACAGGAGGATGTGTGTGGTGGTGGTATCCAAGTCTGCCCTCTGCTCAGGTAAGGGTTAATTCTCAATTGGAGCAGGTCTCTCAGGGCCTGGTCCAGGGCAGTCTGAAAAGTTTCCCCAGATGCAAACCACTCCTTCAAGTACCAGACCCTGTCCCAGGTCTGCCCCACTCCTCTTGCAAAGGATTTGTCCCTTTGCTTCAGCAGAATTTCCCTGTTTCATCTTGTGCCCTTCACCTTTCAGTTCTTTCCTGGGTATGTCCAAGAAGAGTGTATCTCTAACCCTTCCTCAGCTCCCTCTGGGGAATGAGAGGCTGTAACTAATGCTCCCCTGACATCTTCTGGCTGGACAAACTCAGAACTCTAAACCTCTCCCTGGTGGATGGCAGCATGCTCATTCCATGGAGATTAGTGTGGCCAAAGGGCCAACATGCCCATAGAAGTGCTCAGTGGCATAGTCCTGCCAGTGCTCTGGAACTCAACCCCCTTGCTCACAGCAGCACGCTGAGCCCCAGGTTATCTGCACCTGTAACTCTCAGAAACTACTTTGTGAACCATCCCAGGAGACACTCAAATCTCGCAGACACATGAACACACAGAGGAGTGCTTGGCTCTGGGATCCCTTGCCACACTGAACTCCATCTTGGCCTTGGCTTTCCAGCTGGTGGAGGAGGAAACAAGGCTTCTTACACATGAATTAGTGTAACAGGATGAAAGGGAGAAGAAATGGAAGAGGATATAGGAAATAGGAGGTGGACAAGTATGAGAGAGAACAGAGAAGAAAAGAGAAGGGGACAGAGAGAAGGAGAATAGAGGAGAAAAATGACAGACACTCTATGAATGGCAGAGAAATGAGGTAAGGCAGTGAGTACAAAAAGAAAGAAGGATCAAAACGTGATTCAGAGGTGGGAAAGAACAGGAAAAAAATTAGAGACCAGGCAGAAGACAGACAGACAATACCACCACTTTCCTTAGGTAGACAGAGCTGTAGGGCAAGAGGAGAAAATGCAGACAGGGCTGTGTGTGGGCTGGGGGCAGATCCCTATTTGTATTGAAAGGTTTGTGCTATGCTGCTCCAGGTTTTGAGTCACTGTGGGTTTTGATTAGAACAGAAATATGTCCCTGAGTCATTGAGTAGGGCATGGTCTATCTCCACAGATAAGCGGTTGCTCTTAGTCCCATTACTCTTAAAGTGGTTTCTGAATTCCTTCTCAATCTCTGCCATGCCACCTTCGACAGAGTATACAACTAGCTGAAGAGTAGCATCCTTCCCCATGGGCAACTTGTACCAGTACATGCTTGCAAATACACTCTCCTTTTCAGAACAGGTCAGAGTCACAGAGTCTCCCACTTGCACAACTGTGTCTGATGATTGCTGAAGAGCTTGGCCTGGAAAGAGAAGGGAAGAGACATGAGGAGCGAAAAGCATTGAAGGAGAAATGAAACGCATCCTTGAAGTATGACATGGGATGGGGGGGCATAGGCATGTCAGCAAGCTATGGGACAGTGTCCCTTTTATCTGAGAGAGACACATAGGACAAAAAAAACAAAACAGCTTCAAATACAGTAGCAAATTTGTCATGAAAAATACTTCAGTCCTCTCAACTGAAGTACTAAAATGGAACTGATAAAAGCCCAAATTTGTACTTCCATAGAGATTTATGAGTTAAGAGACTGAGGGAGAGCTCATCTTGTTCATTGCCCATCCTCCCTCTGGAAACCTTGGGGAATGGGGCACTTCCAGCAACTGCGCACACAGCTGAGTCTGCAGCAGCAGCTTCAGTGCAGCTGTTCATGCAGAAGGGAAACTCACTTACCCACAGGGGCCAAGATGGCCACAATGAACAAGTGGACAACCATGGAGAATGGTCACCTCCTTCCAGCAACCTGCCTGTGGTGACAGCACAGGCACATAGAAGTGTGACGAGGAAAGGTTAAAAGAGGAAGAGACATGTCTCTTTGCAGGTGGGCAGGGCAGTGAGAGAGAGCCTGAAATGTGAGAAGGCAGTTGGCTGGCTGGTAACAGTGAAGAATGACATCTGCATGCAGGCATGAGGTGCATGTACTCTGCTCCACTGACTTCTTGCTCTGTCTGTATATGCATGTGCATGCGTACGTGGGAGATAAGTGTTAGCACAAAAGCATGATGGGGGTGTGTGGCGGCCTGAGTGTGTGCATTGCACAGGGATGCACAAGGAGGCATCAGATGAAGGGAAGAGAAAGAGAGCTCAGGAATGCATGTTTGTGCCTGTGCCCCTCAGCTAAGTCTCTCTAGACACTGTCATACTCACAGACTCCCAACCTTGAAGCTAAAATATGGAATCTTCTCTGCTTATCTCAGTGCTGCTCATCATGTTGCCCAGGTATGGGAAAGGTTGCTGACCTGTCATTCTGGTGTCTGTTGTAGCATGACAGAGAGGAGTTCTGTAACTGTTCTCTTCCTCCAAAGGGAGATCTCAAGGAGAGAATAGGCTGCCTTTGGCCCTGCACTGGGTCTGAGTCTTGGGAGACTGCACCACACATCAGTTTCTGAGGAGAAGGGTATTCACTGTGGGATATGCTGGTACAGACTTACCTTCTCCATGCCACGGAAGAGCTGATACTCTCCTTTTTTGCAGCATTCTACAAAGGAGAAGCAGGATGAGGATGGAGAAGCTGGAGAAAGTCTTGTCTTCTCTACATGAAGCACAGTGTTGTTCACCAAGCCACAGCTGTGGAAAATCACTGCAGGCAGTGAGGCTTTCAGTTTCTGTACACTGACACACTCTCTGTCATGAGAGAAAGCAGGACAAATAAACTCACAGAATCTGAGAAGAGGAGGAAGGAAAGGCTAAGAAGCAGAGGAGGTAGTGAGTGGAAAGGGATCATCCTGCCTTGTGCAGCACCAACAAGAACACCACACTCCGTGTGTCAGAGGCCTGAGAGAGCCTCTGAACATCTGTACCATGCTGTGGGCCCAGTGATGCATGGCAGTGGAAGGTTGGCCCTACAAGAGAGTGAGTGATCCAACTCTTCAAGGCTGTCATGGGCTTTGCAGTTCACCTTCATCCTTTTAGCAGAAGGGTACAGCAATGCCGCCAGCTCCCAGACCCTCTGTTGCAGGTCTGGGTGTGTCCCATTGCATTAATTTCCACAAACTGCTTACAGGAGGTTCAGGAATGACTCCAGATTCCTCAAAAGAAAAGGGAGAAAAGAACAAAGAGTGTGTCTTAAATTGTGCAGGCAACAGGAAATACCCCCATGACACCCCAGCACTCCAGCTGAGAGGAGGCTGTGCTTGATGTGTCCATGGGAAGGGTTTCCATTTGTGTAGTGGCAGAGCAGTGTGCTAGGAGCCTTGCAGAACACATGGAGTTTGAGGAGTTAGTGACCTCAAACAGGCTATGCATGCTCTGTTGATCTTGAGGGCTTGAGAATCCTGTATGTTAGCATAAGCAGCTGCAGTGTGGGAACCTTCTGGAGTGCCCCATGCAGGCCTGTGCTGCAAACTAGCATTTGTTATGATAGAGATAACACTAACCTGACAGGAAACTATTAGGTACACATCTTGCTAGCATAATCTGTAATTTCTGTAATATCTTTGGGATTCAGGGGATGGAAGGTAGTGATCCTGACCTGGAGGAGTTTGTGATCTGCATAACAGTTAACTTGAGTAGGCGCAGGCTTGTGCTGAGCTGCACTGCATGTGCAACATGGCCTTCAGGCCTGTACTGTGCTCCGTGTATCCCTTGGCCACCAGATAACCTCCGACAGGTTGCTATCAGGAATAAGCATGTGGGCAGCTCCCACTTGCTACTGGCTAATATACCACCTGCCTGGCCTTGCCTTTTATCTGAAGGTGCACCAAGAATTTCTCATATGAACATTCTTTCTGTCTGACAGTGAGAATGATGAGCAGGGTTGGCTGGAATTAAATGAGAGGAAGTCTGTTAAGTGCAGGTTCAAGAGAGGCAGAAATAAGGTGGGGAGAGAAAGTGAGGCAGAGAGGGGAAGAAGGGTTGGAAGAAGTGAATATAACATAAATGAGAGGACTAGTGGGGTGGTAAGGGGAGAAAGCAGAACAAATAAACTCACAGAGTCTGAGAAGAGGAGGAAGGAAAGGCTAAGAAGCAGAGGAGGTAGTGAGTGGAAAGGGATCATCCTGCTTTGTGCAGCACCAACAAGAAGGAAAGCAGACCCCTTTTGTGCAGGGGGAGGTTTGTGCTCTGCTCCCTCAGCAGCCTAACTACTGTGTTTCACTCTCAGCGCAGTAATACATGCCAGAGTCATTGAGGAAGGCATGGTCTATCAAGAGGGTAATTTTGTCTCCTTGTATCTCACTGCACTTGAAATGACTTCGGAGATCCACCTCAACGGTTGCTTTACCAGCTTGTACTGCAGAAGCTATTAGGACCAGTCTGGAGTCCTTCCCCAAAGGCAGCCTGTACCAGTGCATAGCTGTGCTGGTGGATTTCTTCTTGGAACAGCTCAGATTCGTGGACTGGCCTTGTTCTATCACTGTGTCTGGGGACTGTTCCAGAGCCAATGCTGGAAGGGAAAAAGAAACACTGAGAAGGAAAAAATGGAAAAAAGTGAGCTAGGCACTGTGGGTTGGTCGAGAAGAAGGTGAGAAGGAACAGAACAGACTAGGGAGTAGCAGAAGGGATGGAAATGCTCTTTGGAGCTGCAGGTGAGTTTCCAATTTCCCTCCGATAGACAAGAAACTTTCTGGGCAGTTTGTGTCTGGAAAAGGAACTACTGGGGGGTTGTGCACAGAAGAAAAATAGACAGCCATTGCAGGAGATTGAAGGATTCCTGCCCACCTCCTGTGTTGCCCATCCTCAGCACGGGAAGCTCTGGGGAACTGAGCAATGCCAGCAATTGGGTACACAGCTGGGACAGCAGCAGTGGAATCAATGTAGGTGCTCAGGGGTGAGTTGAGTTCACTTACCCATATGGGCCAGCATGGCCATGAAGAACCAGCAGGAAACCATGGGTAAAAAGCCCCTATCCTTTCAGGGACCTGCTTTTTGTAGCTGCCCAGAGATGTAAAGAGGAAGTAGTGAGTGAGGATAAGACACACTGGGGTTGGGCAGGACATGATTGTGAGAAAGGATTGGCTGGCTGAGAACACTGGAAAAAGATTTGTGGGGTCTGGGGAGTGGAGAAGGGGGTTGCATGGAGAGAACTATGTTGAAGTTGCATGGCAGTTTGAGTGTTTGCAAGGCAGAGGAATGCTGAGTTCCCTTTCTCCTTCTGAAATCCTTGAGAGCTGGAGGAATGAGGTATGAAGGACACACATAGGTCCCTTGCATCTTCCCTCTCTCCCCCAGCCATGGCTGTTTCCCCCTGACTCTGTGAGGGCTCTTTTTCTCTGTGTGTGACTGTGAGCAGAGCAGTTAACATCAGTGCGAGGCAGGACCAGGAAAGACACGACAACAGTCCAAGCGTTCTGCCTGCTGAGGGCTCTCATGGGCTTTGCAGTGAAGCTCTTCCCTTATCCCTTTCTCTGAAGGGCTAAACCATGCCTGCAGCTTCCAGCTACTCTCCTGCAGGGAACTGTGAATCCCACTGTGGTTAGTTTCTCTTACTCTCTGCAGAAGAGTTGGGGATGCTTCTGAACATCACAAAGACAGGAGTGGGATGGGGGGTCTCAGCTGCCCCACGCTATCCCTACCCATAAGACCTTTCATCCTGGGACCAGGAGGGGCAGGAAAAAAAGAGCAGGCCAGGACACCCTTTCCTGGCTGCTTTCCTCAGCCCTCTTTCCTCCACAGATGGACTGCAGGGACAGGAGATTGTCAGCATCCTGAGCCTGCTCCAGCCAGACTGATCACTCACATGTGTTTCTTGGAAGTGTTCCAGACTGGGACAGAGATCACTATGGTGGGGATGGGAGGTGTGTGAGAGATCAGTGTGTGTGTGTTTTGTGTGTCTGTGAACATGTCTGTGAGTGCGTGCATGCGGTGTGGGTGTGCAAGGCTCCCTCAAGGCCTGGCCCAGCAGAGCTGGTGGGAGGGGTGTGAGAGGCAGGTAAATGTCTGTGAAAAGCCCAGGGACAGTCAATGTGCTGACATAGAAAGGAAGAAAGAATATAGTGTGGCCCAAAGAGGGAGGCATGAGGAAGAAGAGGTGCTGAGGATTGGGGTCAGAGTGGCCTCTCTCTTCACCTTCCTTGATGACAGGCAGTAGACCAAGTTCCTCCAGAGCTGGTTTCTCCCTGGGACCTGGGGCCTAGCTGGGGACCCCTGGGTGTCTTAGCCTAGTGAGGGCCAGGACTTCTGGCAGCTCTGCTTCAGAGCAAAGTCAAAGAGTGGTCAGGGACTGAGACCATCTTTGTCATTGCCCACTCTGCCTTGTGAATCAACCTGTCTAAGGTGGATTCCTTTTCTGGCAGGACTGAGATTGTCCTCCAGAGGGGTGTGGGGGGTACTACTGGGATGCATGCAGCTGGTGAGACCACTAGGGTGTACAGTGTAGAGCATTCACTCATGCTCTTCCAGTGACACCTCTCTGCTGCTCTTCTCAGAGGCTCACCAGGTTCAGGCCACTGGCATCCTCTCTACTGTGCCCTCAGGTGTTTCAGCTCAGAAGGACATCCACATGGTCTCTTGAATGGGGCAAACTCGGCATGGGCTAGATGGGGAACTGGATAAACAGAGGGATGAACAACTCAGAGAGTGGCAGATGGCAGAGGACTTCACCATGCCGAGCCCGGCTGGCAGTACCTTTTCCTCCTCATAGGAACTGCCAGACCCTATGCCTGGAGGGAGCCCTGGTGACAGACAAGGAGAAACAAGTGGAAATGGAATAGGATCCCTGATGGTTGCTTTCACCTCATGATGCCAAGAAGGAGAAGGCTAGTGAGGTGTCATCCAACTCGGTGTTTCTCTGAGGAAGAAAGTTCAGTGAAACTAAAGGAAAACTGTATGCAGGTGCTAAGCAAGAGATGCTGGATCAACAGGTAGAGACTGTGGTGTTGCACAGTTCACTTGCATGCCAGAAAACATCTCCCTCTCTCCCCAGTTACTGCATGAGCTGGAGCATCCCTGACTGAACCTATGCCTCACATTCCATGAAGGATTTCTCAGTGTCTGCCCTTGGTGGACTGTGAAAATATACCCAAGTACCAGCTTCCCTGGGGACTTCCCCTCTCTTTTGCTTTTCAGCAGCACTGGAGATGTAGCCAAGTCAGGGAAGCCTTGTCTTGCAGAAAGCATCAGGGAATGCAGTGGGTGGGCCAGATCAGATGCTAGGAAACAACAGAGGTACCAACAGTCCCTTCTGAAACTTCTCAGGGACTTCCTTGTCCCATGGCTCACCTGGGATGACTCCTGCTGTGGGCAGGGACAACTCACAGTTTAGCTCCTGTTGCCTTCCTCACCCCTTTAAGCCATAGACTCTACTGCCTGCCAATATAGAGCAGGTGGGGAGACAGCCCAGGCATTTGGCTCCAGCTAATTCCTGGGCTGCTTTCTCCTGGATGTTTGTGATAAGCCCATGTCCTAGATAGGTGGGGTTGTGGTTTGCAAGCTTGTGGCTCTCACAAGGTTCCCAACAAGTACAAATGTAGAAATTGCACATCAGCCCCCCTCATCCCCTTCAAGTTGCACTGTTCTCTATGTTAGCCTTGGTTTGCCATCTGCGGTTGTCCGCAAACCCAGAGCCCCAGGGCTTCACGCTGGAGGGAGTGGAGAGCTACACATGGAGAAGGTGGAGTCCTGAGTTTGTCTTTTGGACATGAGAAATGGGGAGGAACTACTATGAATGGGATGCCTCCCTGTTTGAGCCATGGCTGTTTCAGCTATGCACATGAAGATGTGTTGCATCCACTCCCCCTTTCCACTGACTTGGGAGAACTGATCTCCCGTGCCCCCCC